AGAATCCCCAATAATTGATGTTTTAGTGTATCATCTTGAGCACCATAGGAAACCATAACTTTATTAGCAAGAGAATTGAGCAAGGCTACACCAAATTATGATCTAAAAAACATGCAATTCTGATCTTCTGAATTAAAAACCAACCCAACACATTATTTTCATTCATTCCTTTCCCTTAGGGATAATACATAATAAGTGAAAGTCAGTGAATCAGTTACAATATACCTCGACAACATGAAGCAGTTTTGTCAATAAATTCAGCCAAAACATGGGTGTGATCCAAACCGACCAGTTGGATAAGGCAACTCCAGTTGTATGATTAGGACAGGTTTAGTTGCAATATGTTGTATGTTTGATCCAATTGTTGAAGAGATATTTCCAATATTGGTAATGTGCTTTTTACCTCACAAGGATAAGAAATACCAGCCAACACGAAGATCACATCCATTGCATCAACGTCAAATAGATATTCACAATGGTGAAGCCATGGATCATTCATGTTTGTGCCCCTAGACTATGTCACCAAATCCAATGTTGCTGCAACCGAAGGTCGAATTCACATCCCAAAGCCAAGCAATCCAAATAACCCCACATTATTAAAGAGGGAAATAAGACTCACATATGCATCCAACTGGAGCAACATTTGCGAGGGAAACGAAAGTGACACCATACCACTAATGATGCGGAACCCACAACTATGTTGTTGCAGCTGTCACGGTTCTAGGGCTGAAGATGTAGGGAAAGAAGAAACAAACAACATAGGATTCGATCCTCAACGAAGAAGCAACAACCCATCCCGCAAATGAAGACCACGATGCTCCCCTCTCACCAAAGAGAAGACGGACACCATCCCTTACGCGGGCACCAAAGAGAAAAGTGCCACCTGACTGTCTTAGACAGAGAACGGCGCTTCCACTAGCCTCACCCAAATCAGAAGGGCAAAAGAAAGCACCGCAGCCCACCACGTGTGGAAGGAGGCATACCCAAGTGCCACGAGGACATGCGACCAAGCTAAAATACGGAAACCAACTATCAGCACACCTACATGGAGGACCCACTTCTACTTGTGATAGGCGTTGGGATTCCCCGAACAGGAAGGGTGATGTAGTATTAGCAGATAATATGCCCCTCAGTTAAGAACCAAGGTTTATCGAACTAGTAGGAGACACCACACAAACAAGATAAGCGTACCCGCACACACGCAAAGCAAATGCTCGCACCCAACAAAGGCAAGACGGTTTTCAATCCCCTTGTTCTCGCCAATTGCAAGGATTAAGTCTAGTAGTGATTGATAGATAAATAAAATAAAAACATAATAAAAACAGTGAGCAAATTTAGGGTTTTAGTAAATATGGAAGATTGACCCAGGGGCCATAGGTTCACTAGAGGCATCTCTATCATGCGCATAACAACGGCGGGTAGACAAATTACTGTTGGGTAATTGACAGAATAGCACATGGTTATGATGATTCTTCATGGCATGATAAATATATAATCATTACGTCCATGACAAGTAGATCGTTAAATTTACTGATGCCTACTACTATTACTCCACCCCAAGACCGCTATTCAGCATGCATCTCAAGGTATTAAGTTCATAAGAAATAGAGTAATGCTTTAAGCAAGATGACATAATGTAGACAAAGTAAGATCTCAATTAATATGTTCGAACCCCGTCATTTTATCCTTAGTAGCAACAGTACAAATACGTGCCTTTCAACTCCTCCTGTTATACAGTAAGGACACCGCGGGATTGAACATACTACCAAGCACATGTCTTATTGAAGATAAGTCAATTTAATTGGCCAAAGAAGATGGATAATCGGAGAGAAATACAAGGCTATAAAATCACACATATATAAATCTCAGAGAAGGCTCATTTTCAATGAATAATCTGGTCATAAACCCACAATTCATCGGATCCCAACAAACACACCACGAGAATTACATCGGATAGATCTCCAAAGAGATCCTTGTATTGAAGATCAGAGATAGAGAGAGAGATAGAGAGAGAGGGGGGGAGAGGGAGAGAGAGCCATCTAGCTACTCCTATGGACTCATAGGTCCTGTGGAAACTAGCAGAGTACCAGAAAAGGCCTCCAGATGGGATCGGGGAAGAACGGAGGCTTGCGGTAGCGATAAAGTTGTTTTGGGTCTCGCTTCGGGTTTTTTTGGATTTTAGGGAATTCATATGACTGAGATTAGGTCAAAGAGAGCCTCGTGGGCCCCACAAGTACCGATGCCCTCCCTAGAGGCATGCCCCTTGAGCTTATTGCTCCCTCGGGTGCCTTCTGGTCTCTCCCAAAACCTTCTAGCGTCTCTTCTGGTCAGGAAAATCACTGTAAAGTTTCATCGTGTTTGGATTTCGTTTTGTATGGTTTTTCTGAGAAACAAAAAATAGGCAAAAAATAGGAACTGACACTAGGCACTAAGTTAATAGGTTAGTCAACAAAAATGATATAAAATGGCATATAAAGCATACAAGAATGATAATATAATAGCATGAAACGATAAAAAAATTATAGATACGTTGCCCCAAGCTTAATGCATACTCGTCCTCGAGTAGGCAAATGATAAAAAAATAGAATTTTTATGTGAAATACTACCTAACATGTCTTTGTCATGTAATTAATTTGTGGTATATATGAATATTGGGAAGCGATGACTTAATAGATATCAAAATGATAATATGCAAGAGCGCTACAAAATAATCATTACCCTTCAAAATAAAGAGTACAAAAGAATGTTATTCCTACTCATTTAATCATGTAAGCATGGCATAGCTCGGTCTTCCAAACATAAAATATAAATCATAAGTCACCTTAGTGCCAAACCAAGCAACTGTATCATACTTTTTCTCGCTTCAGCTTTTTCAACTCCACTCGGTATATGAGGTGAGCCATGGCACTGGGTACTAAGTTAATATGTTAGTCCAGAAAGATGATATAAAATGACATACCAAACATACAAGATTGGTAATATAATAGCGTGAAACAATCAAAAAATACGTTGGAAACGTATCACCCACCCACAGGTCACACCAAGTGGCAGAGCTTCAGCGAGACCACCCTAGGCAGTCGCCCCCCAAACCGTAAAACCAGCCCAAACTATGGTCCCCCGACTTACTACTACGAAGATTGGGACGAAGAGCTTTTCATATATAGCTAGGTCGAGAAAGTTGCCATTGCCCCACCAACAAATTAACCTAATCTCCGCCATTGGTCACACCCCAAGCAACCAAGAGGCCACGTGTCAAGGAGCTTAGGGTATCGAAAACATCGGTCCCCCAAAATGTACATTGCATTTTACCGCAGACTGGTCCGCGGACAGTGATACGGAAGTCGGGCATGCAATATGTCCCCTAAACGTTTTCCTTTATTATTCTTTTAAGTCTGGGGGCTCAAAATAATAGCATATCAATAGTTGTTCATATTTAAGTAGTACAATCATTTTCAAATAAAATAATTCAAACTTGAATTTAAATCAGACATGTGTTCTAGTTGCTCCCTTTAACTATTCGCATATGCTCAATCAAATCTTCCTTGAGTTATTCATGAGTTGCGCAATGCGAATTTGTTGATGCATTTGAACAAACTAATCAAATATGGCCAAATTCTGATGTGAAAGTTGGGTAGGATCCCCTATATGTTCTCAAATTCTAGACCACCGGCAGCATCTTCACCGTCATACTTCACGATCATGTTGTGCGTCATCATACAACATGTCATCACCTCCCGGAATGTCTCCGGATCCCATAGTTTAACAGGTCAACGAACAACTACAAAACAGGCTTGGAGCACTCCAAATGCTCTCTCCACATGATTTCTAGCTCCTTCCTTCTTTTCTGGCCTATTGCCTCAAAGATAGTCTTGACGAATGTAGCCCACGAAGGATAAATACCGTTAGCCAGATAATAGCCATCTTGTACTCATGCCCATTGACAATATAGTTGCAAGAAGAAGTTTATTTTTCCGATAACCTAGCAAACAATGGAGACTGTTGTAGCACATTGCTGTCTTTGTGAGATCCAGGCATGTCAAAAAAAGCATATCAAATCCACAGGTCATGTGATGCAACTGCTTCAAGAATGTTGTTGTGCTTCTTAATATGGCCCTGATATTACCCTTGTAGAGCTTTTGGGGAGTTCTTTCATCTCCACTGCATACAATCAAGAGATCCGAGCAAGTAAGGCCACCCTCTTGCTTCGGACATTGCCAAGAGTCTTTCGGTATCCGTGACAGTTGGTTCTCTCAAGTACTAAGGTCCAAACACCTTGACCATCGTAGTAGAAAATCTGACCATAACATTTCTGCACGTGCTCTCTGACATCGAAGGTACACATCCGGAGATACTTGTCGCACAAATCTGTGCTCGTGCCATATGCAAGCATCCACAATGTAATCATGCATTTCTGATAATCAGAAAATCCAATTCTTCCGATGGCATCCTTCTTCAAGATGTGTGGGGCGCCATTGTAGCATTGTATCTACATACGAAGCAAAACAAGTGAATCTACACTCTAAAATATGTCTATATACATCCATATATGGTTTGTATTAAAATCTCTAAAAAAACATGTATATATACATCCATATATAGTTTGTATTGAAATTTCTAAAAAAAATGTATTTAGAAACGGAGGGAGTAGCATTGTAGAGACGATCATTTTTAGCATCCGAAAGCACCGAGCGGACGTAAAAGAACCAGAGATCTCCAATGACGTTGGAGCTGACAAGGGCAGTGCGTGCAGGAAGCCGTAGAACCGCAGCTAGAACGCTTAGATTTCAGGATCCAATCATACCGGACTGACAAAATGCACCCTAGAACAGACAGCAAAACACATTTTTTATTGGAAAAATCTTGGCCATGAGGGAGCTATTGTCTGTACACTCATTGCAACCATGAAACAAAAACGAACTAACGGACCTAATTTTTTTCCAATTAAAGGTAAAAGAGTCCATCAAATAGCTCTATATTCTTTTCACAAGGTAAATGTGCTTTTAGAGGAACCGGAGCCCGACGAAAGCCGGCTCCGCCGCGGTCCGGACGCTCAGGTGAAATCCGGCCGGCCGTACTGCGACGGGAGCGAATCCAAGCGTAAGCTCGAGCGCTAGTTCTTCGTCCTCCTCCTTTTCGACCTCCTCCGCGTGCTCTGCGGCCGGCTCTGTGCTCTGCTCCTGCTCCTGCTCCGCCTGGCTGACGTGCGATCCCGCCTCGGCCTCCGTGTCTGCGGACGCCTCTTGCTGGCAGTGTGGCTCCACGGGGTCCTCGTGTCGGCTGTCGGAGGATTCGTGGCTCGGAGCACGCTGGGACGCGCCCTCCTCCATCTCCTTGCGGTGTTGACGATCCAGCTCCTCCTCCGCCGTGGGCGCCCGCGTCTGAGGCTGCGGCTTGGGCTTGGGCTTGTTGTTGGAGTCGCTGGACGGGTTGTGGTGGGACGAGGCGGAGGACGCGCGCTTGAAGCGGGTGCGACCCGGCTTGGCGACCTTGTGGAGCCTCCCGTCGGCGGCTGGCGAGGTGGAGACGTGGCGGATGTCGTACGCCTTGAGCGGCGGTGTCCGGTCGGCGGCGGCATCCTCGGAGGAGACCTGGACGATGGGCTTGCCGCTGAGGACGGCCTCGACGGCGGCCTGGCACATCTGCCAGTTGTTGGACCAGAGCAGGCCGACGGAGCCGTATATGGGGTTGACGATCCGGCCGCAGGCCTCGTAGAGGAGCGAGCGGAAGATGCCGGGGCGGAGGCTGTCGTCCGTGCCGGCGTTGATGAGGTTCATGAGCCCCGCGCGGCCGTAGAACTTGGCGAGGAAGACGGTGGCGTTGGCCTGCGCCTCGGGGCTCTTGATCCACTGCAGGCAGGGGCGGATGCTGCAGTCCTCGCTGCAGCCCTTCCGCAGCACGCGGCAGCCGTTGCAGCTAAGCCGCATCGTCGTCGTCGGTCCTTGAGTGTACGTGCTGGAGCCTGCACAGGCAAGGAGACCTAGAAGGAGAAGGTGTCTACGAGGAGAGAGGGAGGGAGAGGAGAGAGGAGGGTGGTGGTGGTGGTGATGTATTGATGTGATGTGAGCTATGCAATCCAGGAGCGATTGATTGTGATGATATAAAGAAGAAGGGAGAGCGGGACGGCGCCAGTGGTTTTGCGAAAACTGGGAACGGGCTGGTGCTGGTATTAGGCTATTGGCCGCGTCGCGAGTCCGAGGAGGCAATTTGATGACTGGTACGTGTACTTGACTGTCTTTGTTTACTTCCACTGGTTACGGGGGTGCATCCCCCCTAGCGAAACATCCCTCCCATTACCGTGGGTGCTCTCTCCGTCCCCGGGTTTGCCCGGCTTCTGGTTTCCCAGGTGGACTTTCTTGCATAATCCAACCAACCAACTATTCAAGCGCCCTTTTTGATTTATCTATGTACGTATCGCTGCATAAATTATTTCGGTTTTGCGAAATCTTAGGTGCCTCAAATTTTTTCCTCACGTCGGTTGATTTCTGTTATGCAGGACGCCGAAGGTGGGGATGGCACGAGGAGCGGCAGCGATGAGAG